CTAACCACTGCGCCACCAGGGAAGCCCCTGACTTCTTCACTATGTGTTCCAGTGAAGTCACCCCCAAACATTAGCATAGTGAAATGCACATTGTACTGAAAATTAATTTTATTCTATTGTTCCTTTTCATGACAGATATATTCAATGATTATATTATTGATTAATTACATTTCAAGATACTAAGGGGGTGACACAAAATATTTGTTATTAAGAAGAGGACAGAGTCTAAGAGGGTTGAGAACCACAGTTTGGTCCACAGCGAATGACAGTGAATGACAGAAGACAGGAAAACCACAAGCCTCCTGCGTGTACCTCTGTACCACTTCATTTCATGACTATCGTGAACAGCTGATACCATCATGGCTAGAAAGAGTTAACTCCCCCATCCAGCTACCCAACTTAAGTCAAGGGAGCTGCATAAGGAGTCGCACAGATCAGGTTTCTAGTATCTACTCTGCCACTAACCACCGGTGTGACCTTTAGCAGCTCACTGGGATCACTGTGGGCCCCCATTTCCTTAACTGTAAAATAAGGGCATTGGAATAAATTACTTTTAAGGTCCTTTCCAGCTCTATCACAAAATGCATAATTTTGATTCTAAGGCTTAGGCGCTGATCAGAAGAAACTGATTCCTTTAATAAATGTATATAAAATATATCCTGTGGGTAGCAATTATATTTCCAACCACAATATATTTCTTAAGTACTCAGTCTAGTCAAGTCTTTTAAAAATGCCATGTCTTATAAAACTACAAAATGTTTCCTCAAAAAAGAAGTCCCCCTACACTTTATGGAGTGAGCACATTTATTATGAGAGCAGTCACCAATCCGAAGGGGACATCTACTTTTCTAGCACCATTCTGCTCCCTGTCGTAAAAGTCACAGTTTTCTTTTTTGCTTTGAATTCTTGAAATAAAAATGATTTTATCTCTCTGCCTTTCCAATCATATATTTTTGGTAGCTCTAACCTTCTCCACAGAGGTCTTCTAAATTCTAATAGTCCACAGAAATAACAATTCAACAAAATCTATACACAGCTGAACACTGACCACAGACAAGGTGTTCAAGAGCAAGTGCTATGCTGTGAATCAACTTCTTGTCCAAGTAACTATTTCATCGACAACGAATTTTGCCCTGGAGCTTTTGAAAAACACAATAGAAATCTGTTAAGTTGGCAGTCTTGCTGAACTTCAGCTACTTTATCTAACCAGGTCCTTGGTAACAATAGATACTTGAGAGCTTCTTTTTGATAAAACTTGATTTGGAGCCTAGGTGCAGAGAGCAAATGGACCAAACTCCTTATTCTGATGGCAACTTGCTGTTTTTGTTTTTTGAAACATACATATAGAAATAAGGCTTAGGAGTATCACCTTAACACATACACATGTGTATGCTTTAGGAAAACCTCATGCTTAAAAACTTCCATTTAATAAGACAAAAACAAACCAACAAACAAAAAAAGACTTAAAAGTTAGAATATTCCTATTTGGTTTTCAGAAGCACCCCGCACTATCATCTTTTCAAAAACATATTAATCACCTCTGTTATATGCAAAGTGGGACTGAATTTCTCCAATTTTGATCGAAGGACTTTTATTTTTCCAGGAACACATCTAATCCTTAACACAAATTCATTAAGTAGGTATAGAATCCAGTCTTGATTACCTCTCTGGGAGTTATATATAATTTACTTCAAAGTTTTCATACCAGGTTTGCTCATTTCTGTCACCCAGCTCGTTTCTGGGCAGGCTGCCCACATGCCCCACCTCCCCATAAATCAGTTTTGGTGTTTGAGATATGCAAGATCATTTAAAAATTAACCTAAACAAAACAAAATAATTAGAAAGGCAACTTGCCCACAATAACAATGAAAATCGTTTTCAAATCAAACGTGTAATACATTCCAAAGACAAACACAAATGACTTCGTAAATAACCATGATTTTGGATTATCTTTGCTTCTATTCCTCTCATTAACATGAATAATTCAGAGTGCTTCCTATACGTGATGAAACTGTCTCCCCTCAATAATTCGTTTTTAGTACACAGAAAAATCGCATCCTTATGTTTTTCCAAAGGTTTAAATTAGACCATATTTTAAAATGCAACTTTACTTTCAAAATTATCTATAGCTTGGGTTCATTCTTTTCAATGCTATCCTGGCAGCAAGTAAGGAGACCCTTGTGCCTTCAAGGCAAGGGCAGTATAGAGCAGTGTAACAGGTAAGAAGACAGAAGCCCCACCTTTCTTTGGCTCGTGATAATCCTCAAGTACATATCCATCATTTGCAAAGTGTGAGCAAGATTGCCAATATCTTTTCCCTTAAAAATACGGAAGTGCTTTGGGACACCCAGATTTGAGTAAAAAGAATTTCCTAACGTTCTGGCCACACTGAAGGAACAATATTTTTATTATGTGACTTAATTTTAAGTGATAAAAATATCCTAACATTGCAGTTCCAGATAAAGCAGACATTCCCAAATGGGAAAGCATTCTGGATGGGGGAGGACTCAAAACCTCAAATCTTGCTTTAATGACAACATGAACAAAACGAAGGGTGTGTATCTATCTGCCGATTATATACAAATTCATCTAGATTCCCAAACACAAATATAAAGATACTATGTAGATAGACATTTTACTCGTATCTTATATAATACCCTATATTACGCATACCGAATATTTGTGCGGGAAAGAATGTGTACGTCTTAGGTCTACTTAATTTGGGGGTTGGAATATTAAGTTAGTCTCCCATTTTGTCAATTCTTCCTGGGAAGATGTTACATTCTTCTGCAAACCACACTAATTTTCTGGAGTCATGGGGCTGTTTCATGCACTGCTTCAGAGTACCAATTGCTACCCTTGTGACCAGGAAGAAAGGGAAAGAATGCCATCAGGAGGAGCCTGCAGCTGCGCTAACTCCCAGCTCCTCTCTGGTAACAAAAAGGTGGGGGGAAAAGAGCAATCAGATTTCAGTGGGGTATACACCAGCCTTGGCCAAAGGCTTTACAACTTTCTTGATTTCTTCTTTCATTGAAAATAAAGGAGAGGAGCTTAGAGTGTAATAAACCAAACACAACAGTTGCTGAACTTGGGTCAAGATCAGATACCATTACAGCTTTTGGGATGTTCATGGAAATGTATAAAGTGAGGGTGTATGTCTTGATACCTGTGAAAATAAAACATTATGCTTTGAGTGGGAGAGAACAGATGGTTGGTAATGGTTTAAAACATTTATGTTTTTGGACTGTCAGCAAGCCTCTGTATTAAGAAAATATGGTGTTGTAGTCACTACAGACCAACAACTACCTGCAAGGCTCATTTTCTGGAGGATGCTACTGTAATAAAAGAGATAAAACCCAAATTGAGGCCAGAGGAAAATTCCTCTTGTTTTCTCAAGTCATTCAATGTGTGCTATTTCTTATTGACTATATTCAATCGAAATGTTTTCTGTGTGATGAGAGGACTTAAATTTTTCCTCAATAATGAGTCAACTACCAGTGCCCGGGTATTGTATCCTTTTTTGGATACATGGGGAAGAACTGTAATTTTGTTCTGTGTATCTGATTCATGCTGATTGAAGCCCTTAAAAACCCTCTGAGCAATCATAAAATCTGGTAGTCCAGGGTACTCTCGCCCATGAAAAGCAATGACAATCTCCTTATTCTCAATTTGGTAGACAGGCATATTGTACTATAATTATGTGCTGGAATTGGCAGGTGCCAGGCCACCGAACTAGGAAGACAGATAAATATTAACTACAGTCACACTGTATTTTGGTGTGTATATATATGTCAGTCTAAAATAAGTCCACGTCCTTTAAACCCAATGGAATAGTGACAAACACAGATAAAACTGTATACAGAGAGATTAACGCGATGTTTGGGCTTAAACTAAAGAAAAATAAATACTGGTAAATAATACTCTTAATTACTATAAAAACTGCTAAAGGAGAGTCCTATTAAACATCCACAGTGTTTTGATTTGCTCGTGATAACATAATGGGGGAAAAGTCACACAAGCACACACTCTGTATGATTTACTTCCCATCCCTTTGAAAACCCTGGGAACTGTTCAGGACAGGTTTGCTGATGCGAGGGAGTTGGGGGTGGACCTGCAGGAAGAGGAGGGAGAACCAGCGGCCGCTCCAGCATCGCTCCTGTGAACTTAGTTGGAAATAACTGCTGACAGACATCAAACACAACACCTTTTAGCCTCCTAACAGAAACACGCTGATAGGCAGGATGTTGAAACGGGGCAGAAGCGGGAGCAGGTAACCGTGTGAAAGTAACAGCTGCGGCAACAAAGCAACCACGCAGTTCCTACTCTCTCCCACCCACCTCGGGCCCCTCCCCAGGGCACCCCCAACCCGTCTGCCCGGCCCGGATGGAACCTGGGCTCCGAGTCTCCGCACTTCCCTCCCACGTGGCCCGCAGCCTCAGCAAGAGCCTCTGCGAGGTCTCGGAGTTTGGGACCGATGCAAAAAGGGGCATCACAGCAGAGATGCTCATCTTTCTGCCAAACACGCTGGAGGACCGGATAAACCGCCATCAGAAACTCAAGACCATTCCTCCTGATGTCTTCTTTCTAACCTCGGCTGGCTTGCCCCGAGTGGGGGCTGGCACCAGAATCCTAGGGTGCAGGGTGACCCGCCCCGCCGGGGCTCAGGAATCCAGCACAGGTAGCTCCCGAGTTCAGGCACCTGTCCTCCTCCGCCGCCCCTCTCCAAGTCTTCGCACCCCCCTCCATCTCCCGGACCCCCTTTCCCCTCAGCACAATCAATAAAGTGAACGGGAGTGGGTTCAAATGGGGGGGGGAGGGGATTACGGTAGAAAGAGAAGATGCCTTCTGCAGTCATCAGAGGTGGAGTACCTGGAAAGGTGAGGGTGCGCTTCCCCGCCCACCCAGACCCCTCTCCTACCGAGGGTGCAAGCGGCGCCCCCGCAATCTCGGCCCCTCCAATCCCGGACCCCCTCCCCCACGCCCCGACCCCCGGCGGTTACCTGACGAGCGGCTAGGGGAGCTGAGGGTGCCGGCAGGGACTGCTTTCACGGGAGCGGAGCTTCGGCGGGAAACTTCCCCGAGCTCCGGGGCAAACTCTCGCGGACTCCGCCCGCCGCGGGCCGCGCGGTGGGCAGGAGCGCGGTGCCGGAGCTGGAGCGGCGCTGAGCCCGGCGCTCGCCCTCGCCCGTCCGCCCGACTGGGGCTGCGTCGCCGCCTGGGCTCCCGGCCGCTCCCGCTCCCGCCGCCGCCCCGCCCCGCGGCTCCGCCCCCCGGTTCCCCCACCAACCCCTCACTCCCCCCAGCCGCGCGCCCGCCTGCCGGCCTCCCCGCCTCCGCCTTTGTCGCTCTCTGGCTGTCACTCTCTGGCCTTACCTCTGCTGGCCACTAGCCCTCCCTCCCAGCCCTAGGGCTCTGGTGCCACCCACTCCTGGTCCAGGGAGTGGTGATCTCCGGCGTTTGTCTCCTAAGTCACCTTCTCTTCTTCACCTCTGCCCTGTCTCAGATTCTTTCCCAAGTGTTCTAGAAACACCTGAAGGAGAAATCTATAGGTTAGTATGTTGTGACAAGCAAGCACTGACTCCAAAGTCTTAGAATTTCTTTTGCTTTACAGATTTATCTATTATTTATATCTATTATTATATAAATAGATCTATATCTATACCTATATCTCTATCTGTATATGAAATAATAGGTCAGTAAATTCCAGTAAGGATATATGCGCCACAAGCGAGTTTGGTAGCAGGTTTGTGTAAGGCAAAGACTTCCTAAAAAAGCCCTGTACAATAATCCAAGACCTTGTACCTCTCTCAGGCCACACATTTCAAAATCCAGCAAGCTGAAGTTGGCAGACCAAGGTCAGGACGGATTTTTTTTTTTTCTTATCGTTAAAGGAAACTTCGTTGAAATCTAAACATTAGTTCCAAATATTATGCTAGCAACAATTTGACCAAACTAGGGCAAACAAAATTAGCATAACCCTTGATTGCTTACTTTGCATTCAGGTAGTTTCTATGTGTTAACAAAGAAAAACTAATTTTTTTAAAAGTAGTAAGTGTCTAAACCTACCTCATTGCTATATTAGAATACATATTTTTTCAAACGGAAACGTTATCAACCTTCTACGTTTTCAGTAGGTCTTACCTCTCCCGCTGCGGAGCACAGGCTCCGGACGCACAGGCTCAGCGGCCATGGCTCATGGGCCCAGCCGCTCCACGGCATGTGGGATCCTCCCGGACCGGGGTACGAAGCTGTGTCCCCTGCATCGGCAGGCAGACTCTCAACCACTGCGCCACCAGGGAAGCCCCAGTAGGTCTTATTCTTACAAGTGGGTTAGGAAGAACACATCTGGTGGTAGTACACTTTGGTTCTGTGAAGAAATACTATTATAGGACTTGTTTCTTTTAAACACAGTCTGATTTTTGTTACAAGTTTTATCTTAATTTTGTATGTCTGCTGGTTTGTTATTAACGTTTAACTCGGATACTGCAATGAAGGCCTTATTCACCACTAGAATGAACCACTTTTTCTGCTGTTGGAGTTTTAAAGAAACAAGGTAGTGGCCCTGAGCTATATTTAACTGGAAATTGATGAGTGCTTATTGAATGAATTAACCAATTTAACTTAGTCATTTTTGGTTTGGTCCCATGGGTGTCATTCCATGTTCTATGAGCTCTCGGGGTTGTAACCATCTATTACACTTGAGCAGTGAATAAATCCCAGCCGGGGTCAGGAGACCTGGACTCTACTTCTTGGCTACTGCAAGTCATACAATTTTTGTGGCCTCTACCTTCTCATTTGTAAAATAAAGGAGTCAAGCAAGAATATCATTATAACTCTGTTGTTTCTAAATTCTTAAAGTTTTTGTAGCTCATGGGGGAAACTGGGCACAGTCAGGTCAGTTCTCCTGGAATTTGCCTGATTGATGTGCTTCTAGACATTTCCGTCCATTGTGGAATTTTCCAGTCTTTAGAATCTATTTCATTTGTCTATTATAGCAAATCAAACCCTTTGAACTGTGAACTGTCTTCCAATCCTAAATCTTTGTCCAAACCCATTAAAAATATTTTAATGACTAAGGAAATTGAATTTTGTGAATTTTCAACACTGATGAATAAAGGATCAAAGAATCACCTTAAAAAGCTTACAAAGCATCGGTATAAGATGTATCTTCCCATGGCATTTGATGACATGGTTATGGCATGGTATGAGAGTTACATGGATAAGTGAAAATAGCACCTTCTTAAATTTTGTAGTTAAACTAGTTTAATTTTTACGTAGTGCATTATTTCTAAAACATTGGTTCACAGCATGTTTCTAAACTCTCCAGTCTATTAATTTTGTTTAGTTCTTTGAATTTCTTAAAGTGCTTAACTATTGATTATTTCTGGGCAAGTATGAAGCTTACAGATCACTGATCCTTTAATGTGTAGGTTGGTAAAAATTATAGTCATAGAAGAAGTTTCTGCATCAAATCCCAAGGTACGTTCGTTGACAAGAGTGCCTTTGTAGAAAGAGGACTTCATCATTCATAAGTTTATTTGTGAAACACACACAGTGCAGATATCATTGGATTAAGTATAAGAAATGCAAACCTCGCTTTGAAAATAGTGTAACTAGTAATATAAAGAATGAGCCAAGTGGGGCTTCCCTGGTGGCGCAGTGGTTGAGAGTCCGTCTGCTGATGCAGGGGACACGGGTTCGTGCCCTGGTCCGAGAGGATCCCACATGCCGCGAGTGGCTGGGCCCGTGAGCCATGGCCGCTGAGCCTGCGCGTCCGGAGCCTGCGCTCCGCAACGGGAAAGGACACAACAGAGACAGGACCGCGCACCGAAAAAAAAAAAAAAAAAAAAAGAATGAGCCAAGTGAGGGGCTCATAGTTTATGAAAGCTGTGTGTGAGGAGGATGGGGTAGAGGTGTAGGAAAAGAGTAGGGAAGGATATTTTTCCGGTGTCTCTATGCACATAAAAAAGCTACCTTAAGGTACAAGTACAACACTATTACGGGATAGTTCTTGCTATTTTTGAGTTTGTGCTTTTCTTTAGCCATGCAGTTTCAAATGATGATTTGGCTTAATAAATAGCCAAAATAATAATTTAGCTGAAATGTATTAAGCACAATGTACAAGGCCATAGGGGGGTTACAAATACCTCTAAATCATCTTATTTATAGCTCCAGCTGTTTTGTTGAGAGAAAGCAGAGATATATTTACCTGGAAAGACATATTTTTACATGAGTCAACAGAGGATAGGCCAGAAGCTATTGTAATTTCCCTTTAACTTTTCTTGCTCTTATGCTGCAGAGCAGGAGTAAAACAAGAAAAATAATCAAAGAACATCATTTATGTTGATTCACGATCAAGAGAACACAAGCTACCCCACTGAACCAGAGGGCAGAATGGCAGGACTCTTGTAATAGATGAGAGAAACCACTTTATCCAGAATTTTCGGGTTGGGGGAGGGGAATAAAAATAATTCTTAAGGAAACAGAGGTTGAAAACCATTTTTAAAAAGCTTAGTCTAGTGAGATGAAATGGAAAGAGTACTGGACAACTGGATTTGCTTCCACGAAGCTGGGCAAGTCTGTTCTCTCTGGGCTCAGTTTTATCACCTGTAGTGCATGAGGTCATGGGAATGGATGGTCCCTGATGATCCTTCCAAATTCAAAACTTCCCTGATGTCTGATCAAGATCACTTATTTTGATCAAGCTATTCCAATGATTATTCAACTTCACAGATCAATGGATCTGCACAGTGACATCCAAAGTGAACTCTAATCAGAAAATAAAAGCCTGGGGTTGGCTTTTCTTCAGTAGAAGAAATTCAAAACAAAAATGAGAGCACACTAGAGGACTGCGGTACTGGTTATCCAACGTTGATCTACAGGATGCAGGATGTGGTATGGTACAAAGTAGCACTTACTCTCTGAAATTTCAGAAGAAAACATCTTATCATTTTAATATTAGAGATAAATAGGACAAAGACAAACCATTAAAACTTTACAGACTAGGAGGGGTCTGGAAGCATAATGATTTATTTACTTCCCGCTATACCCAGCACTATAAAGCAAAGTTTGCTGTTTGAGGTTGCTCAAAATTATTGAGAGATGGGGAAATAAAAAAGATTTGGCTCTGTGAGCTCTGCTTTTAACACTTTTTAGGGAAGAAATTATTTTCTTCAAAAATTAAGAAAAATTATCAAGGACCAGATATATATAACTAAAGCACAAATTAAGTGTCCAGAAGAATATTGAAAAAGAAAAAGGAAAAAGTGCATAATGGGACAAAACACAGGACTAATGGTAAATGAGGAAGGACTACGATCCCTAAAGAATTAAAAATTTTAAAATAGAGAACAAGATAGTATTGGTCAAACAGAAAAACTAAAATATAATTATAAACAAAAATGAAACAAGATGTGTTACCATTATTATTATTTTTCTGCTGCCCAAGTAAAGCAATGATTCAAGGTCAAATAAATTAGAATAGTCAGAACCTAATAGTCTTGGTAAATAGAATAAGACAATAAATATATATTGATTGGTTGAATAAGAACAGCTCGCAGTTATTTTAGGAAAATCAAAGTCACTAGGGAAGTTATGTATATAATTTTTTAAACTAAGACAGTATGAATTTCATTTAAAAAATAACAAAAACAAAACCTTTCCAAATAGTCACTTTTAAGTCTTAAGCAATGAAATTTTATAAAAATTTTATAAGACAGTGTTTATATGGAGAAAAACCTAAATTGGAAACATACAACATGTAGAACTATAAATGTGCCTCTGTATAGAGAAATTCTATCTTACAGCTTCGATGGTTTTTATTTTCTTTTTTTTCACATCTTTATTGGAGTATAATTGCTTTACAAAGGTGGGTTAGTTTCTGCTTTATAACAAAGTGAATCAGTTATACATATACATATGTCCCCATATCTCTTCCCTCTTGCATCTCCCTCCCTCCCACCTTCCCTATCCCATCCCTCTAGGTGGTCACAAAGCACTGAGCTGATCTCCCTGTGCTACGCGGCTGCTTCCCACTAGCTATCTATTTTACGTTTGGTAGTGTATATATGTCCATGCAACTCTCTCACTTTGTCCCAGCTTACCCTTCCCTCTCCCCATATCCTCAAGTCCATTCTCTAGTAGGTCTGTGTCTTTATTCCTGTCTTACACCTAGGTTCTTCATGACATTTTTTTTCTTAGATTCCATATATATGTGTTAG